TATTTATCTGTGTACATCGCAAAATATTAGCATGATATTAGCATGTACAATGTAATTTAAAATTTCGCTGTTAGCATATTAAACGTTTCTGGCAGTGAAGCATTTCAACGAGTATAATGCAATTCCTAATTTCATAGAAAGCAGACGGAAAACACCAGGAGTCCCTCTTAAGTATTATAGCACATGTTTCCTGCAGCGTGGAAAAGATAGATTTTTGCAAGGAGATTGCACCTGCGGGAGACGTTATAATCCTCTGTGTGCCGAGGTGCCGGTTTCCGTATTCACGGTGGAAAAGCATTTTCCGCTTAAAATCCCTTTCCCGAGATGCGGCGTGCGCCATAACCAACAGCTATAATGTCTTTCAGAACAGCGTTTATGAGACTTTATTTTATTTTTTTCCTCGCGGGCTCACTAAGAGGAACTCTCGGCAACAAGAGTTCGCGTGTAACCACCCAGTGGCACGATAAGAACGGCGCGCGTATGAACCGCCAACGGCGGTTATCCCCGTTCAGTAAAATAAAAATAAACACTAAAGAACAAGTATTAATTCTACCTACTCTGATCGTTTGCTGGTAATTTAAGAATGATTTATGCAAAAATTAATTACAGGCGTGAATATTTATTTATCTGAAACCCCGCAGGAAGACTCCGATGAAAACGCTCATTTCCGACGTCAGAAAATATTCCACGGCGGTGATGTAGCGGAAAGAAACTCAACAGAGGCAAACTGTTCGCGAGAGACTTCAAAAAATTATATCTCAGCTGGCATTTTGTCAGAAATTAATGACACGTAATAAAAAAAGAACATTCACGAACAAATTTCTATGCTACATTTACATTACTGAATTATAAGCACGTTTAATTCTTTTTATGACTGTCTTTTCAAACATTTAAAACAAAATTTTCACTAGTGCATTTTCACTATTAAAATTATAATTGTTGAATCAAAATAAAATCAAAAACGTATATATATTGTAATAGGAAAAATTTCAATTATATAGTAATAATGTACTAAAGGAACAAAAGTGAACAAAATCGTCGAACTGTGCAATTGCTTGTTACTGCCAAAGTGCTTGTGCAAGATTAAACGTTCGTGTATCAGCGATATATCCCGTGGTGGAAACGTTAATTCTCGTTGAAGAGGAGATTGAATGTTACGCATTAAACGTACGATCACCATTAACGTGCATTTAATTACCGAGCGTAATTATTTCCTACGCGGACATTCACGATAACGGCCAAGTATTCCATAACGCACTAACTAAAACCAAATTTAACTAAATAATACAATCGATAATTAGATTGTAATTAGAGAATTTGCAAATGTCGGCGTGATAAATGCAATTAAAATTATTTTACATGCAAACATCATTATCATTCGAGATTTAGATTTTATTAAAAAATATATGTTTCAAAATAAATTATCGTCTTTCACCGAGCAATGTGTGTATGAGTGCGTCTGTTTAATATTTTATTTTTGTTCTCTGTAATGGAATACTTGTCTCGTTTAATTTAAATTTTTATAAGCAATTATTTCAAAAGTAATTGTGTTTGAAGAAATTAGATATTATGCAAATACTTTGATCCGCAAATAGTGCCCTTAATGCAGTCTCGCATATCATGTAGATTGCTCCGGAATAGTGTAACACCTTGCATAATTACGACGGAAACAATGTCTGCATTGTTGTAAATGCGCGTATTCTGCGAATGGCACGTAGGGAGATATGTAAATTTTATTCTGTGCACACTATGTTCCGCCATCTCTTGCGATAATATGATTACTCGTGAAATTATAAACCGCGTTAAGAGCTTGCTTACTTTATAATTGCTTACGCAACGGTACAAATCTTACCTGTCTTATATCTACTTCTCCTTGCGCACTACAATCACATGTAAATTAACATCATATAAATGCAACTTCTCACTGGCAAAATTCGTAAATAAAAATGGGATAAGAATATAATTTTCGAAATGCAAATCAACAAATTCTACACTTAATACATATCTACACTTAATATATGTCACTAATTTGAAAAAAAAAGTTTAATATTAAATAAATATTCTATAATATTGTTTCTAGCCTGTTCTATAAAATATTATATCAAGAACGTTGTAAAAATTATTGCAAGACATATATCAATTCTTCGCAATTTTGTGAATCATATTTCATCGTAGCAAATATTATTTAGCTTTCTCTTTTCGGTGAATTATTTTCCTTGACCGTGTGGAATTCAAAACATCTTCCAATTTTCTTCTGGATGCCAGATAGATAATATCTATATCCCCGGAAACTCATAAATTCGAAATGCATAGCGTTGAAAAATATAGCTCATCGATAAAATGGCTCTGACGAATTCAGCAGAATGAAAAATACTCAATGCAAAGTTGAGATTAAGATCTCCGAAATGTTATTTCATAACTAGCCATATGTTCTCTCGGGAATATACAGAATAATATAGTCGACCAAGTTTATGACATACAACAAAGCACTCCTAAAGATCCATTTCTGATTTCAAAATCCGTATTCTATGCGAAATGTAGCTGAAAGATATTCTTTTTTTTATACGGTTTTTTTTCATCTTTAGAAAGATGCAAAAATCCCCGATTAAAAATTCAGTAATATCAGACCTCTGAATTATTTCGAAACTGAATTATCCTACGTACGTATTTATGCCGCAAAATCCACGAATTGGCCCTCTGCGTAAATCATGGGGAGCGCAGGAGTATATTAACAGAGTTACATTCATTTGCACAATTCATACTGAATATTGCAGTCGATTTCGAATCCCAATATCTCGAAGGTAGCGGTTCTTATTCTATTGAGGCAAAAGTTCCATTTTGTTATAACAGAGCTGTGGTTACATATAGTGAAAGTTTAACGAGTTGTAAGCTCGGCAAGAACAGTCTCAGCGCGGCACATGCGCGAGATACGTGTCTCTGGGTTAAAGAGAGCGCCGGGATTTCCTATTCGCTAAAGTTTGGACTATAAATCGAATCGGAATGCTAATACTTCGACCGAATAGTTTGTCTCGCGCTTTGCCTTTCCGCCGCCGGTAGCAGCATGATATGCTAATAGCGCGGACGGCATTTCCGTCCGGATTCTTGTCTTCTTCTCCACCCGTGTCCCGAGCGCATATCCGCTCCTCTATTTTAATACATTCAACTCTCTTAGGCGAAGAAATGAACAATATACCGTTAATGAATAAAGGAAGAAAAATCGTCATTCGGAATATTACAATTTTTAAAGTACTTTTTTATCAATAAAAATAATTTGCGTACCTGATATTATTTATATAATTTTTAAACAGCTACATATGTGCAGCAATATGCAATAAAAAAAACCCTGTCATTCGGTGTAGAGGCATCTCGACGAGCGTATTATTTTGATAAATTTGCTAGACGTTTGAGGAATCCTGCACTTACTAACCTGGGTCACACCTGTCCAGGCATTAACGTAGTAATCCCGAGACTTGCGAGGAGAGCCAACACATACAAGGCGCCGCGAAGGGGATGAAGAGGACGCGAAAGAGAGCGGGGCGGGAGAGGGTGGTATCGTGACAGGGGACAGCGAGCGGAGGTAGCGGAAATGGACGGATCCAGCTAAACGAGCAGATTCGTAATCCCTTTACTGCCGCACGACGAGAGGCTTTGATGCTGACGAGCTTAGCGCTTAGCGACTTTCGTAACCGTGTCAAGCCGGCCTAAAAGACGAGTCGAGACTGAGACGCGTCCGCGAGCCTTTTCCGCGTTAAAAGCCATTCGTCCAGATCTTTTTTGACATTACGTCTGCTCTCGAGATTACAGCTGCGAGACTGTGGCGCGAGAGATTTACGCGCGATAAAGTCACACCCTTCTTCCGTTACGTGATCTTGTCTCAAAAGTCGTAGATGCGGCTTTTCAGCTACAAGCATCACTCCTATTCCTCAAAGACGCTTTTTACCTTTGTCTTTCAGAGTGTTTATTTCATTATAAGCAAAAGAATATACCAAAGATCGAAAAGTAAATCAAAGGTACTCTTATTTCGCGCTTGAATGCGATTAATTATCAGAATGTATTATTTAAAAATGTTACCTACTTAATTCGACTTGAATTTAAATTCATGACACTTGAGAGCGTAATGACGCCGTGAGTAATTAAGACACGAATGTTCTTGAGATAGATCAACGTGCTTCTAAGAAAATATCGATAATACGCGGCCGTTAGTCTTCCGAACAATTGCGTCAGCGAAGAACAGGTCGTTATAGATTTAGAGCGTCGATAGTGATCATAAAAAATGCGTCTTGTACTTAAAACTTTTTTATGAGATCGACTTTAACAAGATTATTTGCAAAGTCGTAATAATATTAAAAATGTTAAAAAGGCAAGATTCAAAAATTGGATTTTCCCGGCCGTTCCGGGGTTTAATACGAAGAGAAAACAGTCTTGTTTAATCTTTCATTCAAATTTCGCTCACGGTATAATCGTTGTAATTAAATATGAGCGTCAAAGTCTGGAAGCCAACGGTAATCAAGCCGATGTTAAGCTCAACTTTCCATTCAAAAATTCATCAGCCGAAAGAGTTATTAAGCAGATGAGTCTCACCGTCTGAGATACTTAATGAAGAATGAAACGTCGCTGTTCCGTTAAAAATGTATTCTTTCGTTATATCCCACTGCATCTCTCTTGATATTCTCATACAACGCTATACTTAAATCATTGTTATAATATTATACCGAATTAAAATGTCATTCGGTTAAAATTATGTCAGCTCCAGTATTGGAAGTGAAATACGCTCCTCACTCAGGCAACACAAACTGCGAAAGATGTCTAGAGAAAATCTAAAGAACATCTGGAATATATTTTATATACGTTTCCGCGCTTTTTCTTATAAACGTTTGTGTTCTCTGGGTATCTACTCAAAATATAAAACAGCCACTTGCTTATTCTCTTCTTTGTCGTATAAGAGGAAAGCATCTAAACGAGGCGAAGACACTACGGAGAAGGCATCTTACATATTTCAGCTTGTCGCTCACGAGAGACGATTGTCGACCTCGGCCGCGCGAACAATGGCTGCAATGAGTTTGGGTTTCATCGTCATGGTCACACCGTGGACGATTCAGGAAGTCGTAGCAGCCTGCACCGGAAGCAAGCCACCGCCGTTTCTGGACTTCCTAGCCACGTGGCTAGCTCTTTCTAACAGCTTCTGGAATCCCTTTCTCTATTGGCTGCTCAACAATCATTTCCGCCGAGTTTCGAGGGAGCTTCTTTACACGAAGGTACGTAACTAATAATTAATTACGACACTGCATTTGTTTCAACACGATAAACAAAAACATAAATCTTAAAAGAATACAAACAAGTTGATTCTACACTACAACAATTAAGATTTGTTTTCTAAAAAACAGCAAGTTTTGTTACTTTTAATCCAAATATTTAAATATAATGGAAACTTTACTCGATTCTGTTTTTTTTTTGTGCTCGTCTCAAAGACCAATTCATTCGGCTTTTGCGAATTACACGCTAAACCATTACGGCCGACACTTTGTTACACGTGTGAACACTTCGCATAAATCTCGTTACGCGCGAGTGGGAGTTTGAGTGTACAGACGCGTATTTTCAAACGTCCATTAAAGGCTAGTCTATTGCAGCACTTAGCGACTGAGAAATAAATACTTTCTCGTAACTGGCACAATAAAAGATCGCATTTTCTGCTTTACAAAGCAAATTTCGAGCCGTAAAGACAAATTAAAGTTTTTTCCTCCATACACAATTAAGTATAACATAGATTATTAATAAAATTGTACATTATAGAAATGTAGGTTTGCTTATTTATATTTCGTGTTACTCGTTTATTTATATTTCAGTCGAGTGAATTTGGGCGCAGAGCAACGTTTTAACCCGGCATTTTCTACGTTGTGCGGAAAGCAGGAAATTTATACGATTAAAAAGATTCGATAGATTCGCGAGGCGAACGCGAATGCTTCCTTTTGTTTACCGTTCCCCGTTTCGCTTTACCTTTCCGTTATATCACGGCTGTGCGTTTTCCCTCTACCGATTTCACACTCCACTTCTTTTATTTCGCGAAATCAATCGTACGCCCGGCGGTGCAACAGAATCAGTAAATTTCTCGATGGGGATGGCCGTTCGCGTCGCCGGCAAACGAATGAAGACGGACGACTTAACGCGACCTCACTCCAGGAAAACACGTTGGAAAACGCGACAGTACCTGCCGGGGAAAACAAGATTTATCCGGCGCAAAACGCGTTACGCAGCGCGCCCGATGCTTTCCGCGGCGGATTCAGCAGCGGTCGGTCCGCTTCTTCGCCGCCGGACTCTCTTTTCGGATTCAGCAGAAGCATAGGGGAAACGGCCGTCTACATCGCGCAGCTCAGTCGCGGCCACATAGATCTTGGCGTTTCCACTTTACAGACCATGAATTCCGAAAAGCTCGTTGGCGTGCAGTAAATCTTTAATCGCTGCGCGGCCTCTTCTCTTACCCCTGTTCGAATGCATGCGAGTGCAGTAAAGCGTACGTGTACAGCGAGCTTGATATTCCTTTACAACCGATCCACGTCGATTCGATTGATAGCAGATAAACAAATTTGTTTGTTCAAAGTAAAAGCAACTGCATCTGTATATTACATCAGCTTTGCTGACTTTTTACGATTAGAAAATGGTATTCGATTTGCGGTTTACTGAAAACTGTAAAATTGCACGCGATTGTAATACGATATAATTAATTTCGTACTCAAGCTTCGATTGTAGAATCGTTTGCAAACAGTAATTAATGTTCACATTATTCTATCGGTTTCAATATTAGGTTTCGTTACAAAAACATAACTTAACTAAAGTTTTGTAACTAAAAGGTTTCAAGAAAATACCTCCCCTCGAATCTCTAGATGAGAAGAACTGATTTTAACTTCGAGAATCCGTCATTAATAACGAATGCGATTGACTTCATAAAGAACATAGTGTAAAAAGAGTTCGTGAAGAGAATCCTAAATTAACTTTTACGGGCACTAGATTTTGGTAGAAAATGGACCGAAATGTTAACGCGTATGGCACCATCTCATACATGTTAACATCTCGGCAAAGCGATAGATCGGCCAGTTTATGGGAATCACTTTGCATAGATAGGAGTATACTCTTAACAGCGTAAGTACCCTGAAAATCACATGCCGGATATTGCGGTTGAATCTTGGTTTCCACTAACTTAAACATTGTCTATAAAGTTTATATAACACATTTTTTCGCAAAGTCTAAAATAAGTCGTAAATGTGTGAAATTTCTTAAGCTGTTTTCAAAATATCATTAAAAAAAATAAAATATAATGTTGTTTTGCAACAATTATAAGTTTCTTCTCTATTTGTAAAAAAACTCTTTGTCTGTAGGAAAATTATTATAATAAAAGCAAATTTTGCGAAAACAAAAAGACATTATATTTTGTAGTAAATTGAACAAAGTATAATTTCAATAATATACCGCTGCAATGTTGCTAAATTCCAACTAAACGATTGATATATCACTTCAGTTTGCGGCGCTCACAATGTATTATTTACTTCTTAATGGCTAAATACGTAATATCTGGCAAAGTGTATTCCTAGAGGACCGACGTTGCATTTCAAGTATTCCGTTTCAGAGCATTATAGAGCGCATAAAGTTTATGAGCAACAATATATACAGTCCACAATTAGAGCTATTTTGCATTGATATAATAAACGAATGCATGTATGCACTCGCGTAATGCATCGCAGTGATGCATTCGAATGCCAAGGAGCTTCGAGATAATATCGCGATTATTTATTACTCGTTCTCACGGGAAATATCGTGACTTTATCACAGGTAATCAATAAAGCTTATAAAATCTGCACATACCTCGTACGATTGATTTATCGTTTGCGAGATGACAGGCATTCTTCTCTTCCATCGATGCTACATAACTGTCATGATTGATACTTCGGATAATTTTAATTTCCTTTTTATATGCAGATTCTGTGCAGGTCTAAGCCGTTAAGTGCGAAGCAACACTGCTGCGCGACCAGCACGGGTGGCTTAGATGTTTGCAGCATCGCCGGTGTCGACTTATCAGGTGCGCCAAGCTGAAAATTTCGTCCTATTAAATTTCATATGATATTGATATGCAAAATATGTCTAAAGAAAATGTTAAAAAAAAGTATTATCAGCAGCGGCAGCGCATTTAAATATATATTGCTTGTTTCCAAAATTGTTGAAGATAACATAATTTTTGCTAAGAAAACAAAGACAGTAATTCAATATATTTAATTAATTTTTACAGTTAAATTCAATAGTACTATTTTTTTATTATTTAAATCTGTAATTTTTTTATTACAAAAATAAAATGTATTTTAATATATTTTTAGATTTATGTAAAATTATCTGCTTATAATTTTATTTGTATTTGTAATATTGGTATAAATAATTCACGTAAATTGTCCATAAATTTTCATATAATATCATCTTTCTTTAATAAAAAAAAATTCAATTAACTAAAACTTTTTGAAGTTTAATAATTAATTAAACTTTTCTAATAAAATAGAATTTTTTAACTAAATTAAAAGAGATTAATGTAGATTTCCACAATTTTTAGACTATTGTGTTGTATTACATTATCTGTTCATCCATCGTGTTAATTATAGAATTTATCCAATCTCTTTTACATTGATGATTTCACACCGACAATGAAAGGATTAACATAATCAGTGTTTCACGCCAATAGCGAGGGAAATCAGCCTTTTGACTACATGCATTATCAACATTAACTGCGTTCTCGCACTCTATGTGACATCCGTTCATAAACGGAGATTTAAAGTGATTGCTGCTAATAATTAGCGTCATCACGCACAAATGCGAACTGTGTTGTAATCACGCCTGAAGAGCATATATCACACTGAACTTACAGCTGCTACTATTGATTGTGCCGTAATACATTTTCCATTCATACAATGTCACATTCTATAAATTCAGTTATCTTTTTCCATCAATATTTAATTCTTGTTATCATAGTTAAATAAAGTTTTTATAAGTTTTTATCTAGATATAAAATAAAAAGTAGATTAAAAATTTAACTTGTAAAAAAATTGTTCTTTATTATTACCATAAATTATAAATATATATATATATATATATATTAAAATCTCGGAATAAATATTTTACATGCAAATCTTCCGTAACTTTATTTAATTAAATCTTTGTCATAATTCCGCGCTAATCTCGAATATATGTAGCACCACAGTATTTTTTAATTTTCATAGATATGGTAAGATAAATTAAAGTTCATAATGAAAAGCGTACTTCTTAATCAGTGCAAAATATATAGAATAAACGCAATATCTGCGCAGTTAACGAAATTTCATTCTTTCGCGCAATCATATCGCAGCGGTGATCGCGAGAGTATCGCCAAATTGGATTAGGGAATATGACACGATATTTAATTATCGGGCATTGAAACAAGGTATGCAGTGCCCCGGAGCACAAAAGCAAATTAGCTCGTAACTGCAGCACTCGTTTCGAATCTATATTGTCCGATACGATGTAAACGACAAACAGTATTTCGCGCGCGACGTGAAAGTAATTAGTTCACACCTACAATCGTTAATACCATAATCAATACGATCAATATTTCCATCTATTGTAATTTTTATTTCAGGCTTAGAGCGTTGCTCAATGGAACGATGCTCAATGGCACGTTGTTCCTCATTATCATTAGCGAATACGCCACCGCCGCTCCCTTGGGAGACCGGACACGTGACACATAATGACACAGCATCCACGTGAGGTATGTCACACATAAATCCTCTACTCTATCATTTGCAGCTCTATCTATATTTTTTTGTCGTTAAATAGGATCTGCTGCTACCATCGCATTAAAATTCATTACCAGACTCTGATGAATTTGCAAGTAATATTTCAGTAAAAATGTGCACATCTATCATTTTTTAGATATAAGCAAAATGTAAATGAAATTCAAAAGCTTTCATGAAATAAATTTTTCAAATAATTTTCACGGATCTTCTTAGAATATTAATTACAAAATTATATAATATTAAATATTAAGAAATAACAATAAATGGTAATATGTTCTTTGAAACTTTTTGAAACCGTCATAAAAATGCAATGCAGACAAATATCTTTTATAATTTTTCAACTATCGTATCTTCTTTACTGCTAAACATTACAGACAATTCTTTGAGACTTATTATCTTAACAACAAGAGTTTATTTCGTTTGTAAAATACAGCTTTCTAAATGCTAAATAATCAAAACTGAAAAAAGCATGCCTTCGAAAAATTTTCTTTAAAAAATAATAATGTAATTAAATATCAATATAATTAGAATACTGTCTAAATCTTCTTGTACTTATAACAGTCAAATTACATATTTTTGTTCAGGAATGCTTATACTTTAATAAATTATCAATCAAAAAATTTTCTTTAATTTTGCAAAGCATATTTAAAATAATTACCATTGTTATGTTAAACTTATTTATAAACTTATTTGCTAGAATTTTATAAATATTTTGTGTTAAACGGCAAAACAAAGCATGTAATCGATTCAATTTTCTCATATTTGATACTTCAACTATTTTCAATATTATTGGAATATTCAATATTATTTAATATTATTGGATAATTATTATTGGAATTTTTTATGTCGCATAATACAATAGTTTATCGGCGATGGCTATTTTCAGCCAGAGATGCCGCCACGCAGACGGAGGATTTCGGATCTCCGGACGACGCCAGTTAGTACAGCGTGGCGGCAAGCCGGCACCCGACGCTCCAACGTTACTGGGCACAACATTCGTCGTCATTTAATCGAAGCAATGTCACACCCTCGCTAGCACAAGGACGAGTTTTACACGTCGAGGAGGACAGCCGCGGCAGGACGGGCCGGCGTCTACACGATCGACGGCGACGTTTCGAGTATACGCGCTTCAAGAGCTTGCCAGATCTTATTCAAGATTTGGAATCGTGACGAAACGTTAATTACAAGCACGTTGTCGAATCAGGGTATTATCGTTCGCTTTGTCGCAGCGCGACTCTCAGAAGCGCGGCTTGATCTCACGCGGCTGCAACAGCACGTGGAAAACATTCTAATCGCAAATTCCACGCTCCCAGGCAGGATTGCGCGTAGCTTGCGTCAACACACTGCGATTAGTTCTCGTCGCGATGAGATCAATTACGGAAATTAATTACGGCATCAACAGGGATGCTAATCGCGCCATTCTCGATGCACATGGAGATGTTTAATCACGGCGGAGCGCTGTGCGAGTGTTAACGTCATTCGCGCCCGCATTCACCCCCGTTTTCCACGATTGATTATTAACGCGCGAGCGCTCGCGCCACAGGCGGTGCGCTCAAGTATGAAATTGCTTCTTTCTTTATAACTTTGTGTACTTTCTTTACGACTCTTCAAACTGTATAAGTATACGTTTGAAATTGCAGGTACCAAAATTCACAGTACCTCTTTTCAACTTGCGAATTCTTTGATCAATTTCAAGCGTTGAGTCAAGTGTTTCTTCAAGAAGTTTTAATGAACGTCTTAAAGTATTTAAATAAGGCGACTGCAATCTCCGATACACTCACGTATTCAAAATGACGTAAAATCGCGTGTAAAACGATATCTTGTGGAAAACTAAGATAAAACTAAGATGTAAACGTGTAATTGTTTGCTCAAGACCAAGAGCTCATTGGCGTGAGGCCAATACACAACCCCCTCTATATATTCATAAGTATTGTTGTTACATATACTTCGTAAAAAAAAATCCGGCAAGAAGAACGCACAAGGGGTGCAAATATCCGATCATCCTTTTAATATCGCAGAATTTTATACTGTAATGAACAAACTCTATATACATAGATAAAAAGCGCACGATATATAGCGATGTTATTGCATTTTCAAAAATGCACTTTATACGATAGTCTCACACTTTCTTTGGAACCTCGAATCGTTACGAATTAACCGCGATATTCCCCAAGAAATTTGTTCTAATAATGGTATCACAAATTACTTTTATTTAGCATAATGCAGGCAAAACATTGCAGAAATGACTTTATAAACTTAATTACGCAGCAGACCTGAATCAATTATAGTACTATTGACTTTTCATACATGCGCGTGAAAGACACCAATACATGGATTTTCGTTAGGCTTATTGTAAAAATTGCAAGTGTAGAATTAAGAAGTTTTTAAATACGAAAGTAGATAGCAAATATATAAGAATTATATTGAATATTATCGAGAGATTCATCAGAATGCTCGAGCAATGGTAATGGCATCTCCACTTTAAACGAGAAACACCGAATCGATGCCGTGCATGTTTTAGCTTGTGTGTTGGTGGAACAGAATCGTCTTGTACGTAAGAAGAAATTATGTTTCACTGATACATAGACTTTTCTCTTTGATCAGAAAAAAAGATGTCAAACGATCGCAGGTTGAACTGCTAATGAGGTCGACACGATACCGTTTCATACGCAGCGTTCTCATAAATAAAGCCTGACTTTCCTCGAGATTTTCATACACGTGAAAATAATTACATTTTCAATTTGTAATTAAAAACGTCGCGCATCACTCTGATACAAAAGGATTTATATGTACTTGAATAAGAAGTGATACTTTATACAGTTCCCGTTGCTCTAAAATTCCCGGTCTTGAAAATATTAATCAGTTTTTTAGTTATTTATTTCTTTTCTTAAATCTCTCTCTTTTGCTATTTTTTAATTATTTAAATTATATATATGCTTTTTCTTGTTTTAATTCATGTCATATTTTATGTGTTTTTATATACCATATGTGTATATTATGCAATTTTAATTTTCACTGTATATTTATGAGTTCTCTAATAATATGTGAGCTCTTTTAGAATAACGAGAACAGACTTTACATAACTCCGATTCGTACGATAGAAAGAATATCGTTAGTTATACAGAAGAACATACATTGTTAAGTCATGAGAAATAGTAATTTTTCAAGAACTTGTAACGGATTCGTCAAAAGACATTTGGCGATATATTTCCCGACGTAAAATTTTTACGCCTCCGTGAAGAAAAAATGACGCTATTGTTAAATATCTGCATGCTCACTCACTTACGGCGATTATTCGCGTATTCTAAAATGATAACACCCAACTTGATAACTTATTCGCTTAAATTAATATGCAGCCGACTGGCGAATCATTATCTATTTTCAGGTTACTAATAACGAAGCATACTGTGCCTCAGAGCTCTTCAAAGTACTCGTTTCAAGAGTCTTCTCCTGCTTCGTTCAAAATCTTAACAAGAGATTATTTATCAAAAGTATCTCCTATGTCTTTGCATATATGCATATGTGAGAAGAAAATGATTGGAATAGTCAGCTGATTATTGAATTGAATTGAAAATTATTAAATAAATGTCTCCTTTCTTAGGGTCTGCGATTTATTTTTATTATTTGTCATTCATATTCAGCGATAGCTCACTTAAAGAGCATAATTCGTTGTATGATTCAATTACTAATATAAGCAAATATATATAACGTGAAGAATAGAAATAAATCGCAGACTTTAACGCAAAAGTTATTTAATAATTTACAGATTAAAAAAATCAAATTTAATATTCTTCCACAATTGATTGACAATATTTCTAGAAAATAAATATTCCCTCGTTTATATTCATTGATTTTGCGTTACGCAAAATATATTCATGCAAAAAATGCATGATTAATGAAACATTAATCAAGTCAAATTAGTTTTAGTGTTTAAGACATCAAATCTCATAAACTGTATTCTCTCGAAACCTCTTCAGAGGCTAAAAGATTTTTTTTGTATTTTAAGATTTATTAAGCTTTTTTATTAATCATACAGAGGAAATCAAGGCAAATGAGAACCAACCGCGATAAAAAAAATCGTAATACCATAATCTTCCTTTGTCAGCAAAGTTATTTACAAGACAACGTTTTCGATTCTCAGAAGTGCAGAATTATGCTAAAGACAGTTATCGCAGATTCATTCAACGCAAGCGAAAGGAGCAAGTCATCGCGTTTGGCTCTGACTTGCCTTAAATTCCTTTATATGATTGAATATCAAAGAACCATTATCGTTACACATGTATTTTCAAGATATATCGCATTATTAAAAAGCCGCACAAATCATACAGTCATTGAAATTTCTCAACGTGATAAAACTGAAATGCAAGCTTAGCAATATAGCGTTACAGAGTGAATATAAAAAAATAGAAAAAAGTGATCTCTCGTCATTATAGACGTAGCGAGCCGATATGAAAGGTTTGTTTGAAGGGACAGTAAAAAAAAAAATGAAACACTGCCTGCAAATCATTCACCACCGGCACGAGACAGCTCGTTGTCCGCGACAATGTCATGATTCATACTACTTTGTATCGAATCGAATGCGAATCGTTTTTGTATTCAACAATTTGACGTATACCAATTACGCGTATAGAACTTTAGATAAGATTACTAGCTAAATGCAAAAAAAAGGCGACTAGTTAGATTATTGAGTAACCACGAGACTTTTAATAATCATACCACCGAACGAATGCCTTAATCGGAGAATCTTTTGTAAATCGGCAGCATGAACTGAAAAAGAGGGAGAAGCGAATATTATACATACTCTGCAAAAGATCACTGCGTCAGACAGTTTAACTCAGCGATTTCTTGCAGAGTAATAGGAATTGAGCGCCATAAACCATAATTCATTTAAGCACAAAATAATTGCGTTTTGTATATTCGTATTTATATTGTCATTAGACCATCGATTACTATTGGCGTTGTAAATTGTCGCAAAATAAGATCTCAATTATTTCTAGAAATATATTAAATTATTGTCATGTAAATAATTTATCGAAAAATATGGAAAATATTACTCTGTATAAAATCTGTGTAAAGTCTTAATTACCAGTTTAGCAATAATAACAATTATTTAAGATGTTTTGACAGAAACAGTAATGAATTTTTCTGCATGTAGACGACAAATAAGTGTGCGTAAAGCACACAGAAAATAAATGTGTATGTATGTAAGTCGTACAAAACGAGACTAGTCGTATATACATCGCAGTAAAAATCCACTTAACTGCTATGTATTCTTTCTGTATTAAGAAGATTGTTAACAATAAATCAGGCAGAAACCGATTGCAGGTCGGTCGGTAATTTTATTGTTACGTTGTTAGTTATTCAATCCTTTATTAAATAATATTTACTAATATTAATTATTATATCATTAAATAAATTTTTTCAATAATAAGGAGAATTATATTTCTGTATTTTATTATAGTGAAATATACAGAATGTTTTTTTCTTACTAACAATACAATTTATTCTGGAGTTAAATTGTTATTTATGCTACAGTACATTCATATAAGTGACAGTATATTAAATTTCTAGTAAATATTCTATCATAGATTCTAGAAAGAATATTTTGTCTGATAGAATAAATTCACTTACCAATCATTATACTTTAGCTAAATACGCTCTCTCAACTGTACCAGGACAAATTAATATGTATATAATTTCAGTTATTATAAATTATTATCAATTATAATGTATGTTGATTATTACATATTATTTAATAAAATTCTAATTATACATATTTGTTATTACAATTATCTGCATATACAAGGCGACATGAATATCTTAATAAACATGTGTTAAACATTTTATGCTTTATACGTTAAGGCATTTGTGTCACCATATGTATATATTTAAATAATAAACAGATTATTGTACTCACCAGCTAGAATATCGTAATTTGCTCCGCCTTCTGTAGATTTTGTCTAAAACTGCTCCAAATTCGTTTCATCGAAGAGATTGATAAGTACTGGAAACTCGCACGTAATTGCGCGTACCATTAAACAAAAGTTAATTCGCACACTTCACCGATACGAGAACGACGCAAATACTCGCGTTGAATAATACGTTCCGGTAATTACGCGTTACTTTCAACGACACTCCAGACAAAAATTCACATCGCGCCTACGTACACAATACTATAACCGTTTATTATCATTATATACATTCAGTGATTCATTCGACGTATGTATATTGTGTAGATATAGTGATTCGATTCTTCCGATCATTTCATGTGTGACATCAAAATGTCTGCTCTGAGATTGTAACCTATTTGAATTCACGACCCAACCGCCGACGAAGCGCTGTTAATCGCGAATATTCATAATAAGTGATAAACACTCTCGTTCCGACAATTACACATTACTTTAAACGGTACTTTCGATAAAAATTAACACTACTTACGCACTTTTGATATAAAATAGAGATTATTTTTGAAAGTATTCGTCCTTCTCGTCCCACAGCAACGCGCCGAAAGACGTTGAAAACGGTAAAGAAATAGTACGTCTAGTGGCCGAAAGAGTGCAACATTCGACATTGGAAATGTAACAGCGCTGGTAAGATAATATCAAGAGATACGATTACGTCTCGCGCCAAGTTCACGCAACAGTGAAGTCGACCGTGTATCTTCACACGATATTATACCAGCTATTGCCGATAGCCGGTGTTGCACTCTCTCGCCGCCACAAGTACTATTTGAGTATCGCTGTGAAACGAACAAACGTATTCGAGACTAAAGAAGACGCAGAGTGTAAATATTTTGCGATTATATATTTTATTCTTATTAAAAGTGCGTAAAAAGTATAAATTTCTATTGTGAGTGTTGATTAAAGTTATAAGAAATTGTTGGAACGTATTACTTACTGCAAGTTTGGTAGTTATGCGTCGCAGATATTCGCGATTTTCGTCGATTGTCTAGCGACTGCGCCATAGATTCAAATGGTTATTGTTCTAACGAGTACAAGTTTTGATGTTGTAAAGATCCAAAATAATCTCTGCGTTTGTTGAAAAAGATCGAGCGCGGTGTAGTTTTTATCAAATGCTAACAATCTAACTCAATGAAATTAAATTGAATAAAAAGCTGTTGTATTAATAATTGACGATTTTCACGTAACCGCCAAGACAATCGTAGTTCGTCCCGTTTGTTCCGTGTGCATGTACAGTGTCGAATGTATAAAATAATAATTTGCTGCAATTATATACTTTCGTGTAGACGCGTTGTTGCAAACAATACGTTTTATCTCATGTCCGCGTTTGATGTATTCATGATGTCAATCCGTGATTTTCAAAATGTGTGTGAAAAGTGAAGTATACATGTTAATTTTCGTTAAACTGTATGCATAACCAAGTGTGTGTTTCCAATACTCATCAATTCTTCGATGGAGCTGATGGAGAACAATCTGAAAGAGTCTTCAGCGGACGGAGCAAACTGCAATATTCTAGCTGGTAGGATTATAATTTCGTCTTCATTATTCAAATATGTACATAATTATAACATATACATACACAATTACAATTTATATTTATTAAATATTTATTGAGATGTTTGAAAATATTAAAACATTTGTTAAATATTCATTGAAAATTTTAAAATAATTATTCACGCACTTGCTTTTAGTTACGTCTTGATCAAAATGGAAATAACGAAATAATATGTAATAATCGTTATACATAAAATGCATGTGATAATTTATAATATCTAAAATATGTATCAATTTCTCCAGGTACAGCTGAGGGCGTACTTAGCCTTAGGGTACAACGACCGGTGAGTGAATCCATTCATTATACTTGCGTAATGACACAAAGTATTGATATCATTCGCTGTCTTTTCATTCGCCAATATTTACCATACAATTGCTAAGAGTCGCGCGTTGACAATCACATCCTCATCTGCAATTTGCATTTTTACAAGTAAATAAAGAAATACAAAATTATTTGTTTCCTATAACAAGAAATAATATCAAATTTTGCAAAAGTTGTGTATGCAATTATTGTTACTACTTTTAAATCGTAAAATTATCGTAATTGTGATAACATACACATACACAATTACAATTATATGTATATAATATATATATTTCTTTTTTTTAAATACTTGTAACAAAGTTTGTTGTTAGAGATTAGAAATAAAATAACAAATTAGTTATTAAACCATACATTTTTAACAATTTCACATGAGTATGTAATCGTCCTGATAAAAATTTTAGAGCACAAGAGCTCAAAATTTTGGATACAATCTATGATACATGTATTTAAATAGCCGCACGCATTCGCACATTCGCATATACCTATATATCTTTAATGTCTTAGAGTTACGGCTTACAGAATTATTAAAACACATTTGACTTCTCTCATTCGTTTCCTGATATCTGACGCGCTCATTATTAACATTCATCGAATAGCGCGTATTAACAAATTAAAATCGGTTCTTATGTCGAGCAACGACATCACAGGAATACACGAGAAATGTTCTCGAATATACATCTCAGTATTTGATTCAATACTGTGATATCTTCAAGTTCTTTACAAAGTGCACAGTACACGTTAAATATATATTAATAATCTCTGTACAAAATTAGATTAAAGGCTTTCATTTTTGTTATACTAAAATCTTTCAAATATAGCAAATTGGAATAGTCACGTGTTATAAAAATGGAATTAGTTTGCGTCTGATATAGCCGTTAAACATACGCGTTTTCGGAATGTCTCAAGAAATGCTTTGATATTAAATTTTCGTGCAAATGACAAAGTGAAGACTCTATTGTTTTACCAGTCTTTCTCTTAAATCACTTAACAAAGCTAAAATAAACGCGAAGATATTAAATTAGCGGTGTACTCTACTAATGTACAATCTTTAATATGTACATTCCACGTACTTACATTTGTCGTTTGTCCACTAATATTTCACTTACGACTAAATTGCGCGGAAATTATTGCGTTGATATATTCCTACGCATAGTAAAGCTTCCCCAAGAAATCGAGATAGCTCAGTTTCGTACTGCAGAGTAGTTACAGATTAGGAAAACGTAAGAATTGAATCCTCTACAAATTGTAGTAAAAATAATTTTCCGTGGAAATTGTACATATCGACGATATATGTGATTCCAATAATCGCAAATTAAAAAGCCTTCTATTTTTTAATACCTGTAGATGACCTGGATGCAATATATTTACCGCATCAATATACCAGTCAAACAAAACGTGCTACACTAACTACTAGGATTATAACACTGCGAAAGCCTAACGTCGTGGATCTCTGTTGCATCATTTAAAACTATATGTATAAAGACTTATCTCTCTATCCCACATACATTCACGATATATCATCTAAATTCGCAACAAATGAATCGTTGACAAACTAATTTGTCAGTCACGCTTTTGCGTTGCGTACGCATTTGTTCGTATTGTTCGATATGACTTGCGTATTTTAACACACGAACTCCCTTGCGTATCATCAAAACTTCATTAACAATGCAGACTTATACGAGAGAGACAAGAGATATTAGCCACATACCTTCAATGGAATGTAGAATTGACTTTTTTCCGTGACTTTACCATGATCTTTTAAAGGAAAGCTTAATTTTTATAACGCCTATAATTTTAAACAATTCCCAGAGATGATGGAAAGGAAAAAAGCTCACTATACGTAGCTGACAAGACATGTATACCAGCCCGTAATGTTTCGCAAGTAGTATGGACTGCAAATAACATATGTATTTGGTATATACATTTCTACATTTCCTACGATATATGAATATATCACTCGCGTCATCATATCGTGCAAAATATACATTTACACTATGCCATTTGTCAGCAATGTATAGCGTTCCTTCGTTAGATTCAATTAGTTTACGTTAAATTACTTTGTAAATTCTCATATTATATCGGCAGCTGCAGTCCGTGTGTACATACACGTCAGTCAAATAACGTTAGCAATTATCTATCAATTATAATATACCGATGCATCGCCTTGAATCGCGCGATGACCGAGATTATTCAGAGCTTTCCTTAGATAATCTTTGCCTTCACAAAGTAATGACCAAAATACATTACTTATTAGAGTCAAACATAGTGAAAAACAATGATAAAATCAGCAAATTTGCTAAATATATAACCCAACTTAAGGCAGTATATATAATACAAAATTGGCATCCAAAAATGCCTCGTCATTATCACCATGGATCGTTAAATCCAAACATAGTACACATATTTAAACGTGCGCAGCACACTTAAATAAATGATAATTTCATAAACTTTTTAAATTATTTGACCAATACTTTTTATCATATTCAAATAATCTGATAATTGTACTATAATAATATTAATTATTATAATAATAATTATTATTATAATACCAAAATTTGAATAGAAATATATTATTGCAAAAAAATGAAACATTTTCGGACTGGACTGAGAATATCACTGCCGAAAATCGATATACGAGTCAATAAACAATGTTTATGGACCTAGATACGATAGTGCTAAAACATTAACTAACACAAACGGCGTATCATCTAACTATGAAGAATAAAATTGAAATAATAAGCGTTGATGTACTTAGGCCAAAACTGTCTGACGCACAGTGGAGATAGTCTTTGTGATAATATATAGAGGGTGGTTCCTCATCCCCTGGCTTGCATATTTCGCCTCTTGATTTAAATTCCGCCTTAAAAGTAAAGTAAATTTAATTTTTAAACATTACATCTACTGTATTTGCTATTATACCTGACTATACTATATCTGATCACATTTTATGCGTTGCAATTTGCGCTTTGTGATAAATTGTAATATATTCATAGTATTCGTACCTGGCAAATCTCTCGACAGGGCGGGCAAATTAGAGCACCTTTATGCAGCCAACCATTCTGCATAATCCTTATAATAATCTCTTGTCCAGCGTGGTAACAAGTATAAGTGTAATTGCCGACCTACGAAAAGAGATAAAGCTGTCTCGCAATCTATTCAATTTCTTTTATTGATAAGTGTATTATCAGAGAGCTTTTCTAAATCTTCATATAAATCTAATTTGTCGTAACAAACTCACCATAATATGTAGTTTGCCGGCTTCGCACTTGTACAAGTAACAACCGGAACCCCAATGCTGCCACTGTCGCGCTTGTTTGCAAGTTCTCTCCTCCCACATGTCGTTAGTGTGGTCGAAGCATCTCGAGTGAGGGCCGTACTTCTCTAACGCGAAATTCTTGTCGGGATCTAAAAGGAGGATCTATTTCACGAGAGCTCCGCTCTGCATTTCTTCGCGCGAGACGTGTTTGTCGTATGACTTACGCGGATTATTCTCTTCGTACAGGCAGTGAGAACCTCTGACTACTATATTCCGTACTCTCCACGTAAACTCCTGTATGTAAGGACAGTAATCTGCTAGAGATACCGAGCCGCCATAGTATTGTTCCTTTCCCTCAGATACGTGAGGAATCGAGTCGAAGTTCTGCGGCGAGAAAGAAATTGTTAATCGCATAAATGTTCTCAAGTTGCCGATGGAAAATCGATTGCACGTAGACATTAAGCTTCAATATCTTATTCATTTTAAATATTCCAATGAATCATCAGATATTTCTTACCTGGTATTTTTTGGGAAGCGGCCGCGGATGCTTCACCAGGTTACACAAGGCCACTGAACTTCGATCATCCGTACATTCAGTTTGCAACGGATCTTGTTTCACTTTATTGCAAAAAGGATGTATCGATTTTCCTCTAAAACATTAATAAATATTGTCGTATAATCATCATAATACGCGGTTCGCTCATTCGAACATTCCCGTGTACTCACGAGAAGGGGGACGATTTGGAGGATATCCATTCCTTGCAAGATTTCATGGCAAAATTGCATCCTAGATTTTTCCCCCATCCTAGCTCTTGCGCCATCGAATAGTTGGCGCTGTACCAACCGGTATCTTCCATAAGAGCGAGCGTTATCCTCGAGTAAACTGGATTTTGCGTATGCGTTCCGGTCATAGCTTCGTTCTAAAACAGAAAAATTCAATCTATGATAGCAAATGCTGTTATTGAAAAATTCAAACGTGAAATACACGAGCATGGACTCTGCTTGGAATTTGAATACGATCTTAAAATTGTGCCAATATTCAAATATTTTACGAGTGCTGAAATATCAAAATCAATTTCACACATTTCGTCGTTTCGCCGTGTGTCGCGAAATGCTTGGAATTCTTGTTTGAGTAATTATCGAGTTACGCATGCGGCGAAGGATTAACTCGATACATCGTTACGCACCTCGAATACACGTTTCTCCCAATGCGTGAGAGCTGTACCGTCCTCGCCCTGATCTTCCAGTTCCGCACCCTCGAGTTGCGAGCAATTGAAGTGCGCTTGAACTTCGGCACGGACCCGAGGCGTGACTATCATTTGCATGGTCCTCTCCACGTAACCGCCGTGCACTTGCCAGCGAGGCCTGACTACGGTTTTGATCGTGTTCTCGCTCCACTGGTGCGTTTGTAACCTGCCCGAAACGAGTATCGAACGTTATTAGCATATGCTGATTTGGCAGTCGAGGGCTGCTACTGCCCAGTATAATAATCTCATCGCTATGACATCGTACACCACTCAGATTGCACATTCGTAAATGCATCTCTCTCTCTCTCTCTCTCTCTTTCTCTCTCTCGGAATAGAATCGAATTTCGGCTTATCAAATACTCATAAAAAATATGTATGCTAAATTATTCAACGATATAATAGATTCTTCGCAGTTTTCAATCCGTTGTAAAATATTGTAAAAAGCCAGTTGCAAAATAATTCAAGATGTACGTGCGCTTCGAGCTATAACGTCAAAACTCTTGGCAGGATTATTTATTTCGTTCATTTTTCATTTATTCTCTCAAAAGAGATAATTCTCTTTTATATGATATAATATATTTTATATTTTTCTATATATGTATATGTACGATTTATACTTACGCAATAATAGAATTTTCTGCAATATATTTACTACGTGTCAAATGTTGCATATCTTTGTGACTTCGCAGTAGACCGGTAGATAAATATAATTGCACTTCAACCTTTCTATCCCTCGTGCGCTCTCTCTCTCTCTCCGTCTATCTCCCCGCATAAAGTGATTGATGCGATACGTCGGCAAAACGCTTGTTTTCGACAGCGAGCGGCCCCTCCTCTATCCTATTCCGACATGACGGATGAATTCGCGAATGGCCATTTTGCCGGGAACGAGCACGAGCACGGTGAAAAATATTATTACGCTTGAGCGTCAGCGCAAAATCGCTCGTCAGCGTATCTCATATGCATAAATTGTTAGGGAGTGCGCGCTGCGCAAAAATAATGCGATACAACGCAAATAGAAGAGTCGAATGTAATGTCGTCCGCAAAAAAAAAAGAAAAGAGGTTTCAATCTCATATTACAAAACGGCGAGGGAAATTACAGTCACGTGCTGATTCAATTCTTGTTTGCTGTGAAAACGCTTGTAAATCTTTGAAAAAGCTTTCCGAAGTTAATTCACAACAATTGTTGTGAATGAAAATCACGCAGACCATAAAGATATCAACTATTGCAATACGTTGTCACATTGTACGTCAATTTGGTGTTCCAAAATAGTGATGCCGTCGGTTGTCAAATTCGTTATCAAATACTTGAATAATTTGCATTTATGTAAAATGACTAATTAGAGCTAATTAGTATCGAAATTAATGTAAATGTACAACTAATTATAGTCAGAAACTTAATACGCGCTATTAACGGGAATAGCTAGATAAGAATAATGTTGGAGTATCGTAAAAATAAAAATAGCGGTATTTCTACCTCGTTTTGATTACATCTAATACCGCCGCGTCGTGTTACAAAGTCTATATCTCGTCTCAAAATCTAAGATTACAAAGATCCCCCTCTCTCTCCGTGCGCCCCGCTGTGGATTAGCGTAAACCTTAAACGTAAGAGGATCTCCGTAGAGATATTCAAGCACGGTAGGGTGAGAACGCGCGAGCTCACGAGCAGATGGATGACGAGAGACGCAAGGAAACGCTGGAATTTGTAACGAAGAAACGCGCGGGTTACGAAGTGGAGCGAAAACGGACAGAAAAGACTAAAGCTAAAATGAGGAGCGACGAAAGGACGACGGAGAGAAAGAGAAGTTGGCTAGGAAATTAAAAGGACGAAGGACTGCGACGAGCAGGAAGAGAGAACGAGCAGCTATCTTCAACGAAAATCTCTGTTCCTCAATTTGAGTCCCGGAACGTCGTCGAGAAAGAATCATAAAACTCCGCGGCAAAAAGTTCGCGGGAGTTTAAGAAGTTCTGCATGTATTACCGAGTAGCTTCATAATTCTCCAACGCTATGCGACGAGTTATATTCTATCAGCGGGCAAGAGAGAGGACGTTCCATCTCTGCCGTTGGAAACGCAAAAAATTTCCACGCGATAATTCATGAGATCGGCTGAAGGGACCAGACACACTTGAAGAAACGCACCGAGAACATACGGGAAAATTATACGCCAGAGCGAGCTGCGGAAAGAAAGACTTGCGGAGAAAGTCCAAGTCATTCCCGAAATCTATTACGACCCCGGGAACGCCATGGATCTGTTGTTGGAATTTCGCCGATTCGAGGTGGAAAGGCGTCGATTTTCGCCACTTGGTGAAGCGAAATAGCGAGTGAGAAAAGGAACAAGGGAAGCGGCAGAAAAGTAACTACGAGAGCAGCGAAAGTAACGGATGGAGGACGGGGAAATAGAAAGAAGAGCATGCGAAGAAGGATCGCGCGAGGAAGAGCTCGCATCTGCCAACGCCGGAAGCCAGTTCGTTACGGTCCGTCGACTCGGATAGAGCGAGGTAGTAGGAATTTTCCAATTTTAAAGGCAGATACACCATCAGACGGCCGATGAAAGAGAAGAGGAAAAAAAAAATCGCATCGTATAGTCGGATGATGAATTGGCGCACAAAGCAAACTATCTATTCCACTTGATATTCAAAAGTATTATAACACTGGTCTCAATCAAATTGATTGTGAAGATCTATCCGTCGGTGAGACAAATTCGTTAAATTTAAATCGGCTCTACTGACTGATAAAACCTGACAAAAATAATCGCGTTATTAAACATCGCAGATGGAAGAGTTTGGTCGATTCGGTCACGACTTCTATCTGTACGCGGTGTAATACTTATGCGATGAATCCGGTTTCCATTCGAGAAATCCCTTAATGTTAACTTTATACTAACGGTTTAAGCTTTATCCAGTAGAAATCCACGTAGAGGGAATCGATCGCAGATAGTGTGACATTTGGTATTCTAACTACAGTATCAGACATTCCTTGAATACGTAACTTCAATCGTATTTGCAATCGAATTTGAAGTACATCTTCGTATCCCGAGCAACTATTTATCCTTGCGCAAATTATTCATTCAACAGCCAAAAAATACAACAGCCGTTCTGCATCCTTCACACATAGAAACTTAATAAATAAATATAAGACGCAAGGCGGACGTACTTCTCGTTAAGGGGTGGTTTTCCGGTATCACTTCTTCGGGGCGTTCTGGGCTCGCCATTCTCGTCTCTGTAGAAAGCGAATAAGCTCACGGAAAATCCTAAAGCGTGCAGGATCTCGTGTTTAACGGTGCTGAGCAGTGTTTCCAACTCCTGCGGTTTTGTGCTGATACTTCCCGGACATAGGTTGGCATGACCAGCTATCGGCCTGGAAGCAATTTAGTTCGCTTCAACTGCCACGAAATCTCTCCTTTTGCTCTTATTTTAATTATAGCGCAAAATTTGTATTAATTCTTCCGTTGTTTTCTCAAGGAACATTTTTCGTGACGCTTGAAAAATAAATATGCGATATGAACGAGAACATAAATTTGCATATAGAACATGATTTCCATAAAAGGCACTTGAATCGATATTAAAAGCTGCGTAATACAGCTGTGTGTATGTTATGTAAAGTGTGTTTTTTCACACTCGAATATTTCAAGGATTTTTCCATAAGCAAACGGCAACGCACGAATATCGTCGATCTATCACGATGAGACGTCGTGCGAATAATAAAATTCGCGCAACGCCATTTACATCGACCGTGGCACGACGTGCGCGACGTATGTACCTGACAGACAAATTTAATCTACTCAATATGCGTTCACGTTTCGGCGAAGTCGTAAAGTTAGACGTCAAATCAGCGAGTGGCGAGCTTTGCTTCTACAATTTTCCACTACGAATTCGATTCCGAAAAATATTTCCTCAAACTATATCTTGTCCATTTATATTTCAGAAAAAATAAATAATTTTTAATGGATTTTGTTTGCTTACAAATGATGCGTTTTGTATCGCTATATGTACACGATTGCAATAGCTATTTGGCAATCAATTCGGGAAACAATTCGAAATAAAGATAGAATCAAATAAACAATGCGAATGCTGAACAATCATTCGCCGTATAAATAGAATGAAATATTCCGTTTTAATTAAAGTTATTAATTTGAGCGTTCGTCATTGTTAAATCGCTCGCCTCGCACAAACAATCCCTTTTATAAATCTTGTCAAATATTTAATCCGACGTCCTCATGAAATATATTCATGCCAGATGGTGTTTGCTTATGTTCTACCCTACTGCTCATACAAACAGCTGGAATTGCGCATGCTTCAATCACACTTGTTCAATGTATTATTAATTATGTTCTCGGATAGCCAAATCATCAATCGCAACTAATAATTGAACTCTCGCGATTCATACATTATTACTATGCAATGATCAAAAATTTATCTTTAATTCATATGATAAAAGTTTATAATTATGAGAAAATCATTTATATTTATTTACGTTGAATATTACTAGTAATAACTAGTAATAACTAGTAATAACAATACTTAGTATGTAGATCTTTATTCATAATATAACATTGCTAGTCAGATCTGCTGTACCGATTGTCGTGATAAAATATTACTTTTACCAAACAACTTACCGATCCAAGGCAGCTTCCTGTTGACAGTGAGCGGCATAAGCTACCGTTAACCCTTTGTGACACCTCTCAGTCTGCATGGCAGATACGTAGAAGACGAAATCAGCACCGTCGATTCCCGGACCTGCTCTACTCCCTTCGGCTATTCCGCAATTATGTCCCGTCGCGTTACACGTTCTACAGACCTATAGACACGTGCATATTCAAAAATATATAATTTAATCGCAATAGGGGAAAACGCAATTGTTATTTTAAGAAAAAAGAGAGAAATTAAGATGTTTGCAAGTCCACTATCATTATCAGTTTAGAAAAAGATCATAACGTCTCTTGACGTAGAGAATTTATTACACCAGAGAACATAAAATGACGCAGGCAATCTTGCTCATCATAATGAGTGTCAAACGTAAAGTCTGTAAAGAAAATTGTATCCTGTAAACGACGAAGTATCTGGAAACATTAACACTGACGAACCGGAGTGGAATCGCATTACCGTCGAGACACCTCCGCTGAGGAGGTAAATAATTTTACGCTGTCAGCGAATGCCGTCAACGACAAGGACGATGACGCCCCTCGCTCTAATAAGTTATCCGACACCAATTCGCCTCTCAGGGCCACTCATCAATTAGCGCCTCTCGTTTCCGTGCTGCTGTCGTTAAAGCGTATCCCTTGGCGGTGCGAGTTTCGGTAATCGATCAAGATGAAGCACCAGTGAAATATCGCGCCTCTTATTTCGATGAATACACGCGTTCTGCGTGAAAATATAGAGATCGTGTCATCTGTCGCGATCACAGGCTGTCATCCTTCGCGGAAAAGACGAATCTTTTGAACAATTTTTTTTCTTTCGTATATATTACGACAAGCTTGCATAGCTAATATTCATTAAATAAATTGACAATTATACACAAATAGATTTACATACAATCGTAATAATTATAACATAAGATATTATAATATTATAAATTTTGAAAATCAAATTTATGAACTAAATTTTATAAATTTATAACAATAATTAGATTTTCTGGAAATAATATTAAAAATTACTTTGATCGTAATAGAATTATCCAACGTTTCTTAAAATTATAGATGATTTGAATAAGCGCTGTATTATATATCCAATTATATATATAGAAAATATATACATATATATAAATGTGCGCAATTTTACAGTATAATAAGTTTTGTTTAATTCATATCAAAATGACAGGCAATGAGTTGTAATTCCATCAGAAGCTAAATTCAACAAGACCAAAATATAAAAATTAAATGTAAAGCTTATCAATTTATATTACGTCACAAATTACACATCGTTTTTTTATTGCATATCATATATAATATCATATATAATATCACTAATGGAATTACTATGTAGAATATATAAAATCTCATTTCTGACAGAAAGAAATTGATAAACCGTATAGCAAATATTTCTTAAATTTTAATAGCTACAAACGTGTAAAATATATATTTCTTTTTTGTTGATTACAAATTTGTCAGCAAAAATCTATAAGAAAATTCTGTATTTTCATACAAATTATTAATTTTCAATATAGAATATTGCGATTTATGTAAAAATATTTATTTAAATTTAGTTAAAAAAGATTAATAGTCTTTCTATAAGAAATAACGTAAACGAAATTGCCGATTCCACATAACTCCCTAATGCACGAAATACCACGCTCGATCTGCTTCGATATTTATTGCACCGTTTAACTTGGCTTAGAGAACTTATCGGGTAATTACTTACGTCAAGATGATCCTCTGGGACGACTACTTCGCCGCACATAGTAACAGACCGGCAAGTGTCTATACAGTGTGTGTGGTGATCCTTAACGAAAACTTGACTGCTCTCGCATTTCCTGTAAGCATGCCAAAATGCCGGAAATTACTTACAGAAATAAAAGCTCGTTAGAATTAGATTGTAAAATATCGCATTTTCGACAAGCGCTGAAACACCGTTGTTATTATTTACGGAAATAAAGCTCGTTAAAATTGAGTTGTTAAACATCACGATATGATGCACGTCAGATGTTGCATTTGATATGAGTTCATGATGTAAATTAACGTACTTGTCTTCCTGTGGGACATTCATTCCTATATAAATACGAAAGTTTCAATATAAATTCTCTCATGGCAATCGTATTAAATTTTAATGAACGTTCAGTAAAATGTTTCATATCGAATTCACATAGACCAACGTACCAACCTCGTAAATTGCCTTCATCTCGCCCTGAAGAAGGAAATAGCTATCAGGGCTTACAAGTGAGAGGTGCAGGATTTTATTTTCGTCCTTTATTGGACATGCTCTCTGCAAGAACTTGCGCGGAATTACTAGCCGTCACTTAGACGAAAGCACTTAAGAAAGTCGGTTGAAATTACGGATATTAACAAAAGAAAACCAGAGAGAAGGTAATTAGAAATCGTTTTGAATACAAGGAAACTTGCAATATTTATAAAGCTTCACACTAAGTGGGACAAGCCAACTTGAAGTAAAAAAAAATTAACAAAGATTCAACACCAGCATAATTGTAAATGCTTCTATATATTGAACATTGTAATTTACATTATTATATATTATATCATCTTTTAACAAATTTTTTAAATAAATTTTTACATGTAGCTATACTAACTATAACATATATTTTCACATACATTTATGACATTTTTTTTCAATTATAATAGAAATTTCTGAACAATTGGGCCTCAGATTTATATTTTAAAGTCTACTTAAAGATTAGTTGCTACACAAACTACATTTATGTCATTAAAATTCATAGATTATACGATGACATAATATAGCATCATAAAACTGATCATAGATTTTACTCTCTTCTCTGCACAAAAGATTTTATTGAAGTGCCGTATAGCTTCACGCGTTTTTGAGCAATATTATCCGCGAAAGTCATAGCAGCAATGCTGCTCCGGAACATCTCGAAGGAATTGAAACAACCATCACAGGACAACGATCTTCCATCGACGCCGGACGATATCGACCCACGAGTATATACTTTTATAAGGTAAAAGTGGATACGACTATATCAGATACGATGGTGCTACTGGCAAGCAAGGATAAAGAGGGCTCCAGGGAGAAGCGAGTACTAAGGAGAAGGTGCACTTCGCTAAATAAACGTAGTGACACAAGCATGTTTGACGTCCCTGAGAGGAAGATGTTCTCGTTCTTGATGTCACATTGAAGTTGGAGACATATGACGTACACTAGGAAATCTCCACGAAAATAGAGATCAGTTAACAGATTTTGGTAGTACATAGAAAGCATGAATAAATATTATTTATCTATCCTGTTGCAGAATTGATTAAATAAGGAATAATGCAATTATAAAAATAATTTTCATTCATTTCGTTAAATTCATATCTATTTCGATTGAAGCGTTAATTATATTTTGACACGCATATGAAAGTCATGAAAATATATTTATTAAATTTACTATAAGCATGTACTATATATATATATATATTTCAAGTAATAATAGAGGAATTACCCAGATTTGGATACCACGAACTGATTAATTTTCGCCGAACAATATGCGGATAACGTCAATAATGATATTATGCGATATTGATCATTGCAAATTATATTGAAAGACCAAGGGAATTAATTAATATCATATTAACAATGAGAAAAACTTCCATTGTTACCACTACATAATGTAAATTGCGTAATTTGTTGTTGTACAAATTTTAGACTTTTTTTACAAAAACAAAGAGGGGAAAAATTAACTTTCCAGCCGGCCAGGAATTACGCGCGTGAATCTGAAAAACTCTAATCACCCGCTAAATCCACGGCTCTACGGCTTCGACGAGTGTATGCCAAGTGTTTAAGTCGCTAATCGGATCACGTTCCGGCCGAGTTGATTTGCATAAGGTTAAGCAGTTTTCCGCCGAGGAATTCCAGATCCGAATCGCCGGAAACGGACATCTGGTCGTCCGGGAGATTTTTATTTCTCGTAAAGCTGCCTGATGTAACTACTGTTTGCTATAGTAAAAACATCTTTCAACCCTAAAATCTGTTAAGATCACAGTGTATAAGTCTTTCAATTTCTTGAAATTTACGAGTTTGATCTTGCGTAGCGACGGGTTGAAAATCGCGTAGCGACAGGTTGAAAATCGCGAGCTTCGAAATCGGCCGCGTAGTTCGTAGAAGAAGACGCTGTCCGTAAATAGTACAGCAGTTTCCAGACAATTTACTATTCCGCTAAGAGTATCCTCCGGCTTCTTCTTTTGCTTTCCCCGTTCAAGATTCTCGCGATGGGAACGGAGGTGCGACTTAAAGCGTTTCTTCGCTGCCGACGCGAGATACATTCTTGTCAAGATAGAATCTCGCAATTTCGGGGACATCGCAAACTTGGCTCGATATCGCTACCGGTTTTTTCAAGAAAATTATACACATTTTCCTTTCCCAAGAGAAATAAGATTCAACATGGCTTCTTATGTATACGAATATGTCATAAAATATGTATGACATTATTTTTTAACCAATTTCAAAGTTTGTTTGAAAAAATGTCACGACATCAATAGTTTAGTCATAAAATAGAAATAAAAAAACTCATGATTTAAATTTCTGTTGCAGAAAAAATGAATATCAAAATATTATTCCTCATTTAATCTCAAATAGACTTTAATACAATTTTAATATGTGGCCTGATTGCCAAAATAATTCGTAAAAGTTAGTTAAAGCATAATGACACGAATTAAAGCACAATTTTAGATAAGATTTTAGATTAGAATTTAAAGCTTCAAATAGTTATTAATCAATATTAATGTGTGATATTGAAAAAATATCACATTCGCTCTTAAAAAATAGAGCATAGGGCAATGGATAAAAATAGACGAAACAAAATCATTTGTTGTTCTACAAAGGAAATTTTCTTATTGGTATGCAAGATGAGATGTATGAAATCTAAGTGTATTTATTGTATTTCTCTCTCTCATTTTCGAGACAATGGCAATTTATTTTAGAGTAATCGCCTCATATTTGTCCAATGTGCAAATTTAATCCAACGTGGAAACACGAGCTTACAGAATTAGCGCATAATCCCTTTGGTATGACGATTGATCCCACCAAAATGACGTTCAATCCCATCTAAATGCATACATATGTGCAAACGATGAATAAGCGAAAACCTCTCTGCTACGGTAATCAGCAATACATTATATTGACAACCTAAATATATCAAATATAAATCATACCTATGGTATTACCATTATAATTCGAAATTAGTGTATCTTTTGAATGTGAAAATTTGCATTAATATTGTGCAATTCTAATATTATTTATTTGATACACGCGATAGATTGTCGATAATGCCATTGAAATCTCAGTGTGCATTCTTTTGAAAAATCTGAAATCCTCTGCACTTTAAGCTAAAAATCCCAAATTCGCAAATTTAATGAAACAAAATTAGCGGTATTTATGTTACATAATTATCATGCTGTAACATGCGTAACGTTTGATGATGCACAAACGTGATTCTATTGAAATTAAATCTGCATTGATTGCTATCCAGAGCCCCTTTGATATTGGAATTTTCGGATTTCGGGGATACTTTTCGGCATGATGGCGAGAACGAAGATGCTGATGGTGACTTTCAAAGAACTTTATCATTCAGGTAACTTAAAGGAGTCCCGAGCACTTTGAAAGCACCACTCCACCGCACTTACCCGGGACACGTAATGCCCGTAGTACGGATTTGTTGCAGTGACACGCTTTCTGCATTACCAAGAGCTCGTTGGGTACCGGTATTCCTCCCCCGCCCACCCAACCCTTTGGTTCCTCTAAAGTCGTTTAACAGTTGATGAAAACCGCACGATTCACAGTTATCGCACGAGCAAAAAATTAATTTATAAGTTACATACGAGTTTTAGATCAATAGAATCTTTGCGTTTAAAAATATTTTTTCTACCTTTTAAAAAACTTTCCACGTATAATTGCTTAAAATATATTTTAAAGCGAATAAAGATATATTTATCTAAAAAGTAATCATTTAAATATTTAGTTTCAATCTTCGATAAATAACAAGAGTCGTAATTAATATCATTATAATGCGCGAACGTAGAATTCCGCAGTATTCAAGTGATAATGCTCTTCACTTAGCGCTCGAGTCGCCTTTATAGCGAACATACCGAGAGATAAAAGCACGAGGCGTTTATGCAGTTTAGGTGTGCGCGTACATGTAAAACTGCATATATGCATATATGTAACCGAGAATGCTCATTTTCCTTTGAAAGCGGAAATCCGTTATATTCGTCCTTTTCCCGCATCCTTTCGGCTACAATGACCTCTTACATTCTCCTTCGCTGCTGCAGCAAAGAGCGTTAACGCGATTCTGAAGCTTAATATACGTGTAACCATTATCTTCTTCGCGAGAATTTAATTTGACACGCTTCCACATTGACAAAATATTTTCGTATCGTTTTACGATCGCGCTCTCATGCGTTATTTGCACATTGCTGTATCCACAAATTGATCAATATAACTATCAGAGCACTGGAAATAGTTGAAACGTATCTTTGTTGCATTATTTTAACTCGAATCTCACTAAAATTGAAAATTTTATCGAACTTCGTAATAATGTAACGACGTGCTCGCGTCTCGGCGCATATACATAAGCTATGTAAAAGAGTGACTGCTGTGTATGCACGTGCTCGTAAATTTTGCACAGACATTGAGTAAAGTAGCAAAGTAGTTAAAGACGTAAAGTACTTAAGGGAGAAACTTCTTCGAAAACGGCGAGCAGTCACCGCGCTGAGTAGCACACCTGGCACGTCTGACATATAACGCATACTTACTACTTGCATGGATCTCTCATCGGACGATGAAGTAGATACGGCCGAGCGTACG